ATAATAATAATAATAATAATTATTATTATTATTAAGATGGCAGACTAATTTAGGCGATGTTCACACCATGTGACCTGCAAACGCAGTGCATTTTGTTTTAGCTTAAAATTGACTTTCAGGTGTGGTCCAGTGCGTTTGCATTCATTTTGATGCATTCCAGACCAAAGAAATTGAGACAAGTAGTATTTTTTTTGTCTGGACCGGAGCAGACTGCACTAGTGTGAACAGAGCACAAAAAATACCATAGGGATAAATTGGAATGCATTTTTGGTTCGGGAAAAAACTGTTCAGGTCTGGACATGATGTGAACAAGCCCTTAAAGCTAAAAAAAATCAGCAATCCTGGCCACAGAAGGATGTACACCCACAGCAGTGCTTGCTGCATATACAGTACAGCAGATTTAGAGCCTCTGTCCCCCGCCCCCCACCTAGGAAATTCTCCTCTATTTGAAGAAACAGAATATTGCATTGGCCATCGAACACTGTTCCACTGGAAGCAGAAAAAATAAAAATAAATTACAATGGGTAGGGTCAATGTCCTGCTGCACTCAGTAGATCCTCCCACCGATTCAAATGTCACTACAAGACAGACACAGTAGTGAAGTAGGAGTTAACGGGATAAGCCAAGTTCTGACCCTTCCAATGGGATGTGCAAGTTCTGATCTAACAATGGGTCAGAGCTTACAAAGAGTGAAGGACCCTACCCAAGCCCCACGTGACAGTGGTCAAGCATGGACGAATGGCTGTGCAGGTACCAAGTGCTAACTTGTGGCCTTGAAGACTTCTGCTTTAAACAAACAAAAAAAACAAAATAGATTTGCTAATTATAACTTCAAAAACAGAATCCATTACAAAAGCAGGCCCCAGTACTGATAAGCGAGCACACAGGAATGAAATAAGAGCGTATTGTATATCAGAATGAATTACATTTAAGCAGCATCAGTATAACATTTCCTGGTAAAACCCCTTTTGTTTAGCTTTACTGGAAACACAAAACACTGATCACCGGAGACTATCATGGTGTTTAGTGTCTGAGAAGGAAGTGCATATATGCCACAAAATATTTATTCTTGTACGCAGACTTCCAAACACAGCAACTAAAGTGACACTAAACTCAGAAGTGAAGTCTTAAAAATGCATTCAAGTACCTTCATTATTAACAAAAATGTATCTTATTTGTGTATCACTCGGCTGTAGATCCTCAAATCATCTCTGAATTGATGCTGACACAGTCCTTCCTTCTGGAGGGTGGCTACTTCTGTTCCCATGGTCCCTGTGTGTGGTATTCACCTCTCCAAGCTCACTCCTGTGATGGACTACAATCTCAATACAAATTAGTAAACTAAAAACATGAGATTGTAGTCCATCACGGGAGCGAGCTTGGAGTGGTGTAGCCACCCTCCAGAAGGAAGGACAGTGTTAGCATACATTCAAAGATGATTTGAGGACCTACAGCAAAAAAAAAAAAAAAAAGTTTTTGGCTTGACATACTTTAAGGCTTAGTTCACACCTAGACGAGTTTTTGCATGTTTTAACGCACTTTTGTGATGCGTGTTTGAGCGTTTTTATGCGCATTCGGCAAAACACGCGTTTTTGTGAGCAGATTGATGTTAATGAGAAAAAGCGCGTGAAAACACCGCAAACTGGCGTTTAAAGCGTTTCCTATTCAGTTTATGGGTCCAAAACGAGCTGCAATATGTCAAAAAAAAGCTCCTGTACTTTTTCCAGCGACAGGCGTTTTGCTTATTGCGACAAAACACTTAGATGTGAACAGGGCCTTAGAAATGAATGGGATTTTTGGAGCGTTTTTAGGGCACAAAATGCTAAGTGGGAACCAGGACTAACATTGTGACGGGAAATAATAAAAACCTGTCCAGGCTAATGAAAATAAAAGTTTTGGAAAGAGTTGGGGGAAGAGCCCGAACTGTCAGGTCTGCATGCTCATTGGAGATATTTCCTTAACAATAACTAGAAAGAGGTTCTAACTAGACATGTGCACTGCCAAAAAATTCGTTTTGTTTTAAATTCGGATTTGTGTTATTTCGTTTTTCTGGATTCGGGTGTGAAAGTCAATTCGGACGAAACTCGGTAGCGGTAGTTCGAACGTTCGTTTGGTTTTCTGTTCTTATTCATTTTTTAAATTCGGATTTGTGTTGCAGCAAAGTGACATTTGAGGGGGAAAAAATATTTTTCTCCTTCTCTAATGTCACTTTGCTCCAACGAACGAAACGAATAAGAAATGAATAAGAACAGAAAACCAAACGAACGTTCGAACTACCGCTACCGAATTTCGGAAATGGAAATTCGGATTCGTTTGCATTCGTTATGTCTGTAATCCGGAATTCGGATACATCCGAATTTCCGAAAATTCGTCCGAATTTCGATTCGGAACGAAACGCACATGTCTAGTTCTAACTCTTGCATTCCTTATCCAAAAACTGAGGCCACATTCACACATGAGCCTCTTTCCAGGCAGAAAC